GATGGCACTGTGAGCATTTGCACATCCCTGTTCTTACTGACTTTTTAAAGACCTCTGTATCTGCCACAGGCAGCGTCAAGGCTCATTTGGATGGACACATAAAATACAGACACTTGCAAACCACAGATCCACTGACGCCGTACTACTGTTGTCATGGAGCTCAAAAGAGACGGTTTCTTAAAGGAAGTGGGTGTTGGAGCAGGGACCAGAGGCTGGAGGAAGGACACCCGGAAGGATGAAAGAAGGCTGTTTAGGGAGACTACAGGAGCAGAAAAATGCCAGGGCTAGAAAGAGGAGAGAGCTCCCCAGATGGCAGATCAATGAGACAAATGGAAAGAACCCAGGCTCATTACTGGATCCAAAGGTAAATGAAAGGAAGAGTAGTATTCAACACAGAAAAATAATTAACCCCTACATGAAAAGCACAACAGTGAATAGAGAAGGGCTTCTCCCAGAACTGCAGCACACTCAAAGGGGCTTGAGAGAAGGTAGAAACAGGACATGCGTAAATCAGAGCGGTCTGTAAATAACAGCATCTTCTGGAGCAGAAAGGCGCTCAGATTGTTGAATTCTGCAATATACAGTGAGCCTTGGACTTTCTTTCTTTTTTCTTTTCTTTTCTTTTTTTTTAATTTTTCCATTCACTTACTCTCCAAAGTCTTCCTTTAATATGTATTAAGAGGACTGTTTGCCAGGTGAGATTTGCTATAAATCTGTGGGTCTGTCATAAATGATCTTTATTCTAAAAACATGTCACTCATGAGCTGGCCAAACAAGTGAACAAACTCTCCAGAATCCCTGCTTTAAGAAGGAAAAGAGAAAGGATGACATTGTCCAAACAACTTGGCTCCTCAGATGCTATTTTCTTCCCTTGACGGGGACTGGGAAATGAAGCTGGACCCCTCCAGATCCCACCTGGATCTCTCATCCTAATGCATGAGCCACCATGCTGAGTGACCACATGGAAGCCAGCTCTCAACTTGGATCCAAGTTGCACGGTGCTCCTGAGAGATCCTTCTGTACTGGACAGTCCAGGCCTCTGATCAACAGCTACATCATGGACCTAAAGTCCGGGCAGCTCTTTTATCTTCAAACCGTTCTCATTAGCCCTGCACCCAGTCAGATTATAAACCTGCAACTGACGTCATTCCTGCCCATCACTTTTTCTGTGCCTCATATATGCTCAAAACCATTCTCTTCAGCATCTACAGTAACGTTTTCTGAGAATGTCCACTGTGCTGAAGCCCTGTTTTGGACAAGTGAGTGGATGAGATTTCAAACATGTTTATGAGAATCCTTAGGCACTTGGAGCTTGCAATCAAGTCCTTGGAAACCCAGCATTCGATATGGAACAGTGGCCACAGGAGGGGATGGAAGTGATCAGTTCTCACTGAGCTGATGGTGAATCAGTGAGTGCGGGGGAGGCCAGAGGAGAGAGAACTCCTTGGATGGAGGCAAAGGAAGCAGATGAGCTGGAAGTTGAGCTGGCTTTGGAGAATGAGTTGGGCTTTGATAGAGGAGGAAGAAGAGCAGTCTCTGATGAGGGCTTTCATGAGATGGGAAAACACAAGAGAGTTGGAATTTCCATGCTTGTTCAAGGATCCAGAGAGAATCCTAGGTCATCGGGGGAACATCCAAGGGGCATTAGCCTGGAAAGACTACAACTGGGCTTAAATCTCACAACGGGTACTGCTGAGATTTGGGGAGAAGAGGGCATGATCGAAGTGGTATCTTAGGAAATTTGCCTTCTCCAGTATCTGCAACCAAGATTCAAAGTATGTTCAAGATCTCTACCTGATTTCCTCTTTTTCTTTTCTTCCTACTCCACCATTAATTTCATTCATATGGTTTCATGAAACAATTATTTTTGACCCATTTTGTCAATCACAATTTCATGATATTTAATGGCCAGAGAATTGTATTCTAAAACTGCCTTCCCCATTAGGATTTCTCCCCTACAGACATCTACCTTTATCCCAGGTAAACGCGTACACAAAGGCATAGATGTTTAAAGCATTATCCAAAATGTATTTTATTTTTTTAAGATTTTTATTTATTCATTTGAGAGAGAGAGAGAGCACAAGCAGGGGGAGGGTCAGAGGGAGAGGGAGAAGCAGGCTCCCCGCTAAGCAGGGTGCCTGACCTGGGGCTCAATCCCAGGATTCCGGGATCATGACCTGAGCCGAAGGCAGATGCTTAACCGACTGAGCCACCCAGGTGCCCCCCAAAACATATTTTAAAGTTAAGTATATTATGCACTAATTTGCCTTGGGATGACATGAAGCCCATTGGCAGACTTTTCCACACGCCCTGTCCACACCGGCTTGTTATTCATTCAACTCAGAGAAAGTCTCCAGGGTCACTTTCAAAAACCCTTTGGTACTTGCACCACTATCCCTAAAATTTCCTATACTGAACGTGCAGAATTCCTCTGTTTATGGACTTTTAAAAAGAGTCCTGAGTTTTCAATATGTTTTCAAGGATTTCTTTAATGTAAACACATCCCTAAGTGGAAAATCTGACTATCCAGCCTACAAAGTAATAATAAAACATAAGCTTTGCCTGACATAGTTAGAGTTTTGGCTTGTTTTTGTGCATGAAAACAATACTTTCTCTTCATGTGATTTGTTAAATGTTCCTTTGATTAAAAATGTCTATCATGGGGTGCCTGGGTGGCCCAGTCAGTTAAGTGTCTGCCTTCAGCTCAGGTCGTAGTCCCAGGGTCCTGGGATCGAGTCCCACATCGGGCTCCCTGCTCAGTGGGGAGTCTGCTTCTCCCTCTGCCACTCCCTACCACTCATGCTCTCTCTCTCTCATGTCCTCTCTCTCTCTTTCTCTCTCAAAAAATAAAATCTTTAAAAAATGCCTATCATAAATTAAGCTAGTTAGAATATATATTCATCTATGGGAGGGAAAAAAAGAAGACTCCACCCTACCTGTGCAATCAGATCGCAAATCCAAGAAGCTAAAAGTCAGCAAGCAGATCCCCCTGCTTTTGGAGGATTTAGCTAAATTGGTTGCCTCTCTATGTAAAGGTTTTCTGATGGGCATTTGCCTCTACTCCCTTCACCTAATGTTTCTTGACCTAATGCCATAACCACCATACTGTGATCCTGATTTAGTATCTGAGGAGGTCTTAAGCCTACACAGGGAGCCAATTGAAAAATTAGAATATATAATGGGCATAAACCAATCTTTAAAAATATGTATCATTTATATTTGGGTCAATGTATTTAACATTTAAAAACTATATGAAATAAGAAAAATATCTGTTTCAAATTTCACTTATAGATGACTCTTGCAGGGAAATAAATTTTATTAATTAAATGACATAAATGCAAGTTCAGTGGTTGTGGTAAGATAATTTCCATGGAATCAAATTCTCAAAATCTAAAGTCTTTAGATCCGATTTAATACAAAGTGAAAATTCATAGCTCATCACTGGAAAAACAAGATTGCCGAGAGATTTGCTTGTAAAAAAGGGATAAGCTCTCATGTCAGGGTCCAACAGCGCCAGGTTAACTAAAAACGTCATGATTTGGACAACTGTTTTATTGATCTCCATCAGAACTGTGTACATGCATGAAATCAGACTGGATGTTGAGCAAAGCAGTTGCAATCCAAAAAAAAAAAAACAAAAATGAGGAAACTTGCTTTTTAAAAATGTGATTTTTTACTGTTCCTGTAGAGCTCAGACTAACAAACACCCAAACACAACCGGCACCATCTGATCCCACTGGGAGGAGGGCATAATAGGCAATTCATAAGTACTTGCTGAAATGCATTAGTGCTGCTCAGAGCCTCCTTCTGCCATCTCCCTGTGTGGACTCCCCGGGCTCGCATTTTGCCCGCCCGGTGGCCTCGCCCCATCTGTTGGCCAGCCCCCATTCCTCGCTGCTGTGTGCTGGGCACCCCCCACTCTGCTCCAGCCTCTCTGCCTCCCCCAGCTGCTTTCTGCAGGCACCATTTGCCACCTCCTCTCCTCCCAGTCCCAGACCCTGGTCATCCTTCCAAGCCCGTGGGGGCTACCCTCTTCAAAACCACTCTGAGCTTGCCACTTTCTGGATGCCCACTGGCCTTCGCTGTCCAGTGCCGGACGCTTAGACACCTGAGATTCTCTATGGTTTCCTAAGTGTTTACTCCCTCTCTCCAACTGGAGTGTCAGCACTTTGGGGACAGAGAATGCCTTTCATGGTCCTGAGTAACCTAAATCCATGGTTTGTAGTGAAACACACAGACATACACACACACGGACACACAGACACAACACACTCATACATACACACTTGCATACACACATATCACTTGACTGCCTGAAAGTCTACAAAACCTTTATTGCTTTAGAGCATCGCTGTTGTGTTGTTCTCATAACACACTTGAGAAGAGTTTGGTTTCTTTTAAAAACCCACGATATTGGCTAAAGTGTTCTGTCTTCGACTCTGCAAACCCTCTGTCCTTAACAGAGAGTAGCTAACTATGGCCTCACCCCTGCCCGGTTAAAACACCATGATATGATTCGGAAATGATTTGTACCTTCATGTCAGTGGCAGACTCCTTTTACTTGCAGCTGCCAACTGGAAACACCTTTATTCTGGAACATTCCATGAGAGCATAAGCTCCACAAGGGCAGGGACCTTGTTGTAAAAAATCATTTGTGCTCCCCAGTGCCTCGGACAACCCGGCAGAACAGCTCTAGCTCAGCAGATTCTGCCGGGTGAGGGTGCGATGATCAGTGGGCCTGTGTGTTGATGGCCGGTGTACCTGAGGCACTGCGAATGCACTCAGTGTTTCCAAGTTCCGGAGGAAGTGCACCAGGCCAAGAGCAAGCTGTGCATGGGCTCGCCACTAGCACCCCTCACTGCACTCCCACCGGACACCTACTGCTATTATTACCATGACCTTCAGACTTTATTCCACTTTCCTAAGAGGGGGTGGATGCTGGCTTCCCTCCTGTTGTTCCCCCAGGATTCCTTAGTGTATTCTTTTCTTTTCCTCTTTAGGCTCCCAAGAAACATTTGCAAAATGGGATTATCCGTGGCTACCAAATAGGCTACCGCGAGTACAGCACTGGGGGCAACTTCCAATTCAACATTATCAGTATTGACACCACTGGGGACAGCGAGATTTACACCCTGGACAACCTCAATAAGTTCACCCAGTACGGCCTGGTGGTGCAGGCCTGCAACCGGGCCGGGACGGGACCTTCTTCTCAGGAAATCATCACCACCACCCTCGAGGATGGTAGGTCTGACGGCCGCTGCTCGCGCCTTCCCTTCCTCAAAGGTTTGCTCTGGTCACCACTCTGCCCCCCCCACACAGCATGGCTCCTGCTGGCTCTGCAGTGGCAAAGGTGCCAGGCCTGGGGGACTGAGGCTTCCAGGGAAGCCTGCCTTCATTCCCTCACCAGCTGCGTGGATTGGGTCTCGCCCTTGACAGAGCTTGATTGCAAAGCCCAAATTCATTCCCTCTCCAGCATCTCATTCATTCCAAGCACAAGAATTGGGCTTTTCCTGAGTGCATCCAAGGCTCGCTCTAGGACTGCAGAAGCCTGACCAGAATGTAGAAATGTAGAAATCTGATTTTCTAAAAATTTCTTCCAGATCAGAGTTAAGTAGGATCCTCCCTCCCTCCCTCCCTCTCTCCTTCCCCCTTCCTTCCTTCCTTCCTTCCTTCCTTCCTTCCTTCCTTCCTTCCTTCCTTCCTTCCTTCCTTTTTCTTTCTCTTTATGATTGCTTCCTATTTCCAAACACTTCGGACCAGAGCAAGGAATGAGCAGGCTTCCTGGCGCAAATCTCACGGTGACTGAGCGCCCCCTAATGACCACAAGGAGTTAATTCGCCTTCTCCCATGACTGTTCCAGGCGTGCTTGAAAAGCAAAGAGCTCTGTGTCCAGAGACCCCATGTTAGGGGCAGAGATATAATACGGGCTTCATTGTAGCCCTAAGTGTAGATTTTAAGGCACCAAATTTGCACTGCAGTTACCTCTTGTGCAGTTAGCCACGTGATCATAGGTTTGAAGAGGCACAGGGTGACTTGCATCCATAATTTCTGACCATTTCTACAGAGAGAAGTCTTAGAAAACCAGAAACCCAGAGACTGGGATTTTCCATCCAGCGTCATGATCTTTGCAATCATGATTACATATGCCTTTTGGTTTTCACCTCAATGCTAACTCTTCATTGATGTGTGTGGTTCTGTTGATATTTTGTCCCTTTTCCAAGGTACAGAATTTAAGGTCTGGATAAACTCGATGTGAAAAACATTTCAAACAGCCCCCATCTCAGTCTGTTTACTGCCTTTCCTCTGACACAATGGTATAGTTTTGCAAGAGGGGCTTGCCACGGAGGGGGCAGTGAGTAACCTATGACTACATGTCTGCTTTTCAGTACCTTTCAATAGCCAGGCTTCCAATTTATATGCCATATACTACAAAATGCGGAGGATATGTACTGTATAAAGCAAATGTAACTTCAAACAGTCATGAGAGTGATGGGGAAACAAACCAGAGAAGCAATGGCTTTTTACTCTTGCAGTAAGACCAGAAGTGTTCTCTGCTCCTCAGTCCCGGGGCAACCTCCTTCAACGTGAAGCAGTTAAGCTGGAAAGAGAGACTGGAAGTCTGTTAGGACTTACGCATAAACTCACATTATTTTATGGAGTTATCATACTATTTGAATAGGGAAATGGTACTCTTTTTTCCCCCTTAATTTTGTGGATTCAGTGTGATTTTTTCTTTTGCTTGCATATTGAAATGTTAAACTAATGTTGCTTATTCCGTATTGCTTTGCCAATTAAACTACCCACAGTTATGACAGATTCTAATTATTTAATTTCAGTGCCCAGTTACCCCCCTGAAAATGTCCAAGCCATAGCAACATCACCAGAAAGCATATCAATATCCTGGTCCACACTTTCCAAGGAAGCCTTGAATGGAATTCTCCAGGGGTTTAGAGTCATTTACTGGGCCAACCTGATGGATGGAGGTAAGGATGAAAACTAGGGCTGTGAGTTTGCCCCAGAGAATGCATGATGGGAGTAGCAGACCCCCCTCCTAACGTAGGTTTCAGGGAACGGAGAGCGCATCTTTCTCAATGGACACTGTCCACTCTCCCCACGTCGTTCTGTTCTTAGCAATCATCATGTGTTCTCACAGGTGCATAGAGCTGCTTGAAACATTATGTATCCTCAAAAAGCAATTTGAAGTATCTGAGGGGGTGGCACTGGGGAAATGTTGGCATGGATGTGCTTTCCTGGATGAGTATCTATGCCAAGCCTCTGCAGGCAGCACCAAGACGTTGATCTGATTCTAGAAAGTTCTATGTGATATGTATCCTAAAAGGTTGACCTCTTCCGATTTCCTGATAAAACTCAACAGGGAAACTTCCTAAGTCCCTGCAGTTGACCCATGAGAGGGTTCAGGGGGAATGCCAGAACACCTTGCTAGGAATATTGTTACTTCTCGCAAAGAGCCATTTCATACAAAACCCTCCATTTTTTCTCCTTCTGTTTTATTCTCCGTCTCCTTCCCCTCTTCCTGTTTTTCTTCCTTCATTCTTCTTGTTTCTCTGTGTTGTTGTTGTTGTTTTTTTTCTTTCAAGTTATAGGACAAAATCCTTCTGTGTGTTTGGCCAAGACTGAATGAGAGTGTGACCCACACAGGTAGCGGCAAGATTGGGGCCAGAAGTTTCTTGCGGAGAATGCGTCTCAATGTGGTGGGGTGGGTGCTGCTGAACCAGCCTGAGCCCTGCTCCATGAACGGGATAGGCACTCACCCGCCCTGCAGCCTTCACAGGGGAGCTACTAAGCTCTGTTCACTGTCTGCATCCCAAGACCTGTGTGGCCCACACACGCACCCTCCCTTTCTCTCCTCCCCAGCTGCCTTCTGCACCCCGCCCCAGGGGCAATGCCTCTCCTCTTGCCTGGGGCTTCCTTCAACCCCTCTGACTGCACATGGACTCCTAGTGCATGCTCACCTCTGAGTCTGGGCAAACACAGCCAGCGCCCCCAGATACATCCCACCCCTGTTCAGGCCACCTGGGTCTGCTCTGCCAAGCAGGTGGCTGTCCCCACCCCAGTAAACAGAACACACAGGGCCTCAGAGGCTGCAGGGGGCTCTAATATTGTGTAAGAATAAAGGAACTAAGACACTTAGCTAAATAAGCTTAATTTGCTAAGGAAAGAGCAGCTTTTGGAGGCTTAATTATTTATGTCTATACCAGACCTGCTTCTCAGGGCTGAGGACCAGACCCAGTTCCTCCTGCTGTTGAGTATAGCACCTCACGCGTCACCTGGCACTAGAGCCATTCTGTAAAGATTCACCTGCTTGATCTGAGGCAGACACGTTAGCTGAGCATCTGCTCTGTGCTGGGCTCATGCTAGACACAGAGGACGCAGCGTCTGCCCTATTGGATGTTCCAGACCAGTGAGCAAAGGAGAATCTAGTGAACATAGAACCACAAGCCCAGGCATGCCCAGCCAGCCCCAGAGACAGACAGATCTATATAGATGATTCTTTTAACAACTTCACCCCCTTGTGCCGCAAAAAAGCTTTTACAAATCCCATAGACATAAAGTGTAGAGCAATGACTATTTGTAAAAGTATCCATCTTATTGGCATGATGCTGTACTGTAGTATTGTGTATACTTGTTCTCATCTTCGTCTTGAATGAGACAAAACTAAATACTTTAGCACACTCACCTAGAGGCATTGTGACACTGAAATTGTTCTATTTTTGTTCCTGTTGGAAATATTTCCAGTATCCAGTGGTGGCTACTCATCCTATCATACACATTTTCACACATCACTCGTATTTGTTAATACTGACTATTAACACCTTAGCTCCACGAAGAGTAATGTGGTTAATACGATTCTTTTGACTTGATGCTTCTAAAGCCTTAAAAACTTGAATATTCAAAAACATAAAAGTCTTTAAATAAAGACTGCTTGGAAATGCATACAGTTCCTCAAGATACTTTTGCTCACTGTATTAAGATCAAAGTGGTGTGCTTAATGTCTAATGTAGGAGTGCTACACTTAATCTCCGAAAGATGAGAAGGAAACCCTTAGAGACATAAACCTGCTATGAACACTCTCTCCTCACCTGCTACTTATAAGAAGTGACATGTATGAATTAGCAGGTAATTCCATGGGGTTACTGGGTGCTTCCACAGAAACTCCTCAGGCTGCTGTCCCGAGGAGTTGTGAAAACATGTGACTGTGTAAAGGACTGGTCCCACTAACCCTGAGAAAACACCACCCACTCACTCTCACACTCACATTCACACACACATACACTCACAAACAGATACTGATACAGGCTCACACACAACCCTCACACATACATCTGTTCACATTCAGACACACACTCAGGCACACCTACTCACAGACTCATGCACAACCCTCACACATACATCCACTCACACTCATAGGTACACACCCAAAGGCACACTCACAGATTCACAATCCTCACACAGGCATCTGCTCACATTCACAGACACGCTCAGACTCACAACCCTCACACATACATTCACTCACACTCACAGGTACTCACAGGCACACGCAACCCTCACACATACATCTGTTTACACTCAGGCACACACTCAGGCACACATACTCGCAGACTCACACACAACCTTCACACATAAATCCGACACAGACACACATGCTCACAGACACACTCACAGACACACACGCTCAGATTCACACACGACCCTCACACATACATCTGTTCACACTCAGACACTCACAGACTCACAACCCTCACACATTCATCTACTTGCATTCACACTCACAAGCACACACACTCACAGACTTACACATAACCTTCACACATACATCCGCTCACACTCACAGATCCACACACAACCCTCACACATACATCTGTTCACACTCAGACACTCACAGACTCAACAACCCTCACACGTTCATCCATTTACATTCACAGACACTCACAGGCACACACATTCACATGTACATCCTCTCACACACACATTCACAGGCACACGCACTGACAGACTGGGAGACACAGATTGTTACTACCACTGTGATTAGCAGTTGCCTCAAATACACATATAGGAAAGCGTTTTGTTATTGTTAATGTGGTCAGATAAAAGTGGTGAATACATTCGATAGGGGAGGCTAACCATACAATATGTTGGTGAAATTTCTGAGTATTTTATCATAACCTGAAAGTTCGATACTTTTCAAGACTTGACAAGGCCATTCATCTGCAATTGCTAGAAAAAGTGTACACTTTGAAGTCACATCTCCATCTGCATCTGAACTCTTTGTCATTTCTTCTGTGTCTCCCCAAGACAACACGGTGCTTCTGAAGCAAGACAGCATTTAGTGCTGATCGGATGTTTGCTTCAGTGGTGGCACAGTTGGCGGCACTTTAGAAATGTCATTTCCACCCCTGTTTTTTGCCTTGAGACTCTTTGAGAAGGAGGGAGGGTATGAATACATAAAACAATTTGTTTTAAAACAGAAAGTTAAAAATTTTTATAGTAGAAATAATATGTCTAAATTTATTTTATATATTCATTTCATATTATTTTATTCATGATTTCAACTGAACATTATTCTTTAGTTCCTGGGGTGTTTTTTTTTTTAATAACCCCATGGAGTCTGTAAAAGGTAGATGATAGAAATCCTGCTTAAACCATAAAAAAGAACAAAAGCTCAAAAGAATGGCAAATGAAGCAGGCTGTGTGGATCGGGCTTTTTGTCATCATTTTCCTTTCTATTTTCTCCGTATCTGCCAGTCAGGAAAATGCCCAGTGTGCCTCCCGGACCATGTCAGGAACCTCTGGGGGTAATCTTGAATGGGGCTTCTGACTACAGTCACATTCCTGGTTCATGAATAAATCACTCATCAAAAAAATATGAACCCCAAGACGAGTAAACATCCAAGTGTTAATTCTAATCCGCATTGTGCTACATGAGTAGATGGAATTCTTCTGCTTTAATTGTTGCTTTCTTTAAAAAGATGGGGATGATCCACTTCACTTTGTCCCTTGGAGCCATCCTCTCCCCATTACTGTGCCTTACCTAGGAACTGTCCGGACGCATCAGTGCCACCTTCTCCCGCAGCAAGACTGCAGCCCACTCTCTCCAGTGGAGAGAGACTCTGGGGCCCTTCTTAAAGATAAAAATTTAAAAACAAATGCAAAAACCCAAAGTCCCGGGGTGCCTGGGTGGCTCAGTCAGTTAAGCGGCTGCCTTCGGCTCAGGTCATGATCCCAGGGTCCTGGGATTGAGCCCCACATCAGGCTCCCTGCTCCACAGAGAGCCTGCTTCTCCTTCTCCCTCTGCCTGCAGCTCTGCCTACTTGTGCTCTCTCTCTATCTCACTGTCAAATAAATAAAACCTTTAAAAAAAAAAACCCAAAGTCCCCAGAGATCAAATGGTGTAGACAAGGTCTCATAACTAGCTGCTGGCTTGCAGCCCTGTGGAACCCTGTTTTCCCTGGTGTGTGCGTGTGTGTGTGTGTGTGTGTGTGTGTGTGTGTGTGTATGAGAGAGAGAGAGACAGAGAGAGAGAGATCTTTGGCACAGCATGGAAGTTCCTAAATCTGAAAAGATCTTGATGAGATCTATACTTAATTTTTTTTTCCCATTAGCATTTGAGTTTTTTTTATCGTCATCCACTCGACCCATATTAGATCTGTTCAGGAAAACGAGCATTTTAAGTGGTATTTTATAATATAATATGAAGAGTTCTGGTGGTCACCGGCAGACCCTCCCTTCCGAGGGGAGGCTTCCTAACCCATCAGGCCTAAAGGTTATCCACTCTGAATGTGCAGCGACCCCACACAGGAGCGAATATCTTTTCACTTTCGGAAGCCATCTCTTGAGGCTTCCAAATTGTGGCCCCAAAAAGTCTTCACCCTGCTGACCTCCCCAGAAGACCCCAGGCCAAAGGCACCTTCTGGGGACTGCCTTCCTTGCCTCCTTTCCCCCCAGCACAGCATCCGGCCACAGGACTGGCCCACGATCTGCTCAAGGTGGTGATGCGCCTTGGGGTCATGCTCAGGCTTGCAGCTGCATCTGTGACCCACCGTCCCTTCCCATGCCTGTTTCCCCACAGCCCTCACCCCACTCAGGGATCCTGGCAGGTGCGTGACAAGCCTGGGCCACTCCAGGCCCTATTTGAGATTTAACTTTTCACCTATGTCCAGCTCTGACGGAAACCAAGAAGACAAAAAGACATTCTAGAGTTGTCACTAACACAAAATAGGTGACTGTTAATTAATAGGCGGCCTTCTGTGCAATATGCCAGAAGGACAGGAGGACAGAAAGACAGAGGGCAAGAAGAGAAATTCGTCTAATCTGACCAATGTGACATTTTCACCAAGTGACTACAGCAGGGCGCTGAGACCGTGGTCTGTGGACATGAGGCCATGCACTCGGCGACTGTATTAGGCTCCATAACCTTAGGCAAGGTACTGACCCTCCCCCTGCCTCAGTTTCCCTACCTGCAACATGAATGGGTCGTGGAGATAATAGGATTGGTGTACTGGTTAAATGAGTCTGGTAGTTGGCGGTTGTCTTTGCCAAGGCAAGAGGGAGAGAAGCTGACAGACAGCCCTACAGCTTGCTAACCGTATGCACAGGTGGCCTTCACAATAGCCAGCCACCCAACAAGGAATCCCTCCTGAGCCTGCTCCACGCCTGTCCCCTTAGTAACTGGGCACAGGCTCAGAGGCAGTGCCAACACGCCATGGATGGTTGTGTCTGGGGGGGAGCAGTCCTCAAACCACTCTCTCTTGCTCCAGGTGCTCTGTAGGTGGCTCATTTCAAAATCCAGAACACCCATGGAGGTCTTTAACACATCATTGTAAGTTTTCTCAAATTGCCCTGTCTAATATGCCTAAGATGGGAGAGCATAACACTCCACCCTTGAATATGATTAGCTGATCCCACTCCAGAAAATGAGGCATTTTTAGCCAACACCCCGTTTCTGACACGTCAGCATGTCACTGATTCAGCAGGGAGGCTGGGGGTGGGGGAGGTCACTCCAGGTAAGAGGAACAGTTTGCTGGGCCACCTCATCTCAGTTCAAACACCTGAGAAGTTAGGTACTTAAAAATACATGACCATCAGAGTAGAGCTTGTTTGCTTTTTAAACAAAAAACAAAACTCAACTCGCAGAAGTTTCTTGATGAGCAATTAGAAATACACCCACAGAGTGAGCAATGTGCAGTCCCAAGCTCCCTGGGTCCAGTGTGGGGGGCATGCTTGACTGGCTGCTGGGGCATAGGCCCTGGCGGTCGGCGCTGAGTTCTAACACTTAACGTGGAGTGAATCGCTCTGCTTTCCAGAACGACATTCTGCCTCCTCTGTTCTGGGTCAGTTCTGTGTGAACGAACTCAGCACAGCTCCTTGGAGTGATTCCAGGGTGTGGCGGCTGGAGGGCAAGCCCCAGGGCTGGACAGCGAGCCCAGTGCCCCCACAGCCAGTCACCAGGTCATATTCTCTTGTCTTCCAGAGCTGGGCGAGATTAAAAACGTCACCACGACACAGCCTTCCCTGGAGCTGGATGGCCTGGAGAAGTACACCAACTACAGCATCCAAGTGCTGGCCTTTACCCGCGCCGGGGACGGAGTCAGAAGTGAGCAGATCTTCACTCGGACCAAAGAGGATGGTGAGAGATGGGGCTGGTGTGTGTGTGGGGGGGGGATGCTCGAGGCCCCGCGGAGCGACAGCATGGGGACAGGAGCTAGTGTTGGGAGGGCTGGGTCCCAGAGCCCCATGTTCCTTCATGGGCCTGTCCTTGACTCTGCTCTGGGTGAACCACCGGCTGCCCTCCCAAGATATTCCAGTGCAATTCAGACTGTCGACTTCCTGGGTCGCCTTTGTTCGATGTATCCATCGTTTCTCTCCCTTAGAATTTTTCTTCTTTTTAAAAAAATTTTTGGCTGAGTACTATTTAAACAAAAATGCCTTTTGTTGCAGAGCTGTGAAACACGTCATACCTGTTTTTTTATCCCATCAGAATAATTCCCGTGACTCATCATCTGTTAGTGTAGGCTCGGATGATTTCCACCCTTCCACTGGAAGATTTCGTAACAGTCTAAGTCATATTATTCTACGCCAGCTTTAGAATCACTTTAGAATAAACCTTTAGTTTGAGAGCTTTGTATTAATTTTTTAAAAATTATTTAGAGGTATTCATAATGATTTAGTAAAATTTTAAATTACAGCTCACGTCGGTTCAGGCCATTAATTCTTGCTGTTCCAAACAATGGAGACTTGCTTGTGTGACTCCCAAACCTGCAAAAACTATATGGCAAGTGGTTTTTTAGGGTTTTTTTAGGTTTTTTTTTTTTTTGTATTATTTTAAGGGAAACTCTGGAGTGCCATATCTGAGCCTATTCAAAGAACAGTTAAAGTTCTGATAAATACAGCTATAGTGAGAAAAACCGTCTCCACCTTAAGAAAGGAAGGAGCAACTATGTCAAATGATATGTCAAATGGGGGACTCTCCACATCAGAGCACAGAACTGTCCCAGAGATAGGGTGGGGGTGAGACACCAGTGCCTCGAAATTCAGTGCAGATTTTGGCTCTACAACTTTTGTCTTCTTTCCAGGACTCTGTTCCCAGGAAGCTGGGCAGAGCATAGTGGGGAGGTGTTAGCCATTCTTATGACCTCCCGTTGGCAGGTTTGATGCTGATGCACCCTCCATCTCTATGTGGGATTCAAACACACTGGTTCCACCCATATCCATCCAGTGGAAGCAAGGCTGGGGACTCAGGCTCCGAGGCCTGGATAGACTCTTTCTTCAGCCTTTCTGTCCCCTAACAAAGTTTCTCTGACACCCACAGCATACCCTCTCCCTTCTTACTCTCTGTCCTCACCTCTGCAGGCCCAGCCCTTACTCCCCCAGCAGGTCCCATCCATCTACCTTTGCACACTATTCTCACCGTCTCTGTGGTCCTTCTTGTTTCACTGGGGGTGCACACAAATTAGCCTCATTAGCTGTAGCTTGTCCAGAACACACAGGTAATTCTTCCCAGTAATGTGCAGGTATCAACCAATTCTGCTCAAAGGAATTGGATTATTTAGGGAAATCTTAGAGCAAAATGAAATGCCATAAGAAAGTCACACATTAACAGAGAGATCTACAAAGCTATGTCCTAAGTGAAGGTGGTTCATAATGTAGTTTTTAAAAATGCAACAGACAAAGCTGTGTCTAGATGTTGGCTCTGTCGCTTGCTGCCCAGGGGACTTTGGGCATGTTACCTAACCTCTGAACTGAACTCATGTACAAAATTGCTATTATGATCAGAGTTTAAGATATAAAAAGTCAAGTGATGTGTGCAAACAGCTAGCTTGACACAAAGTGGGTTGGTTCGTGACACTAGATATTTGATTATTTGATCTCCACTCCTTCAGTGTGGGGGTGGCACATTCTTTTGCATTGCTAAGCGATAATACAAATGCCACTGGAATCATTATTTAAAGAGCAAATTGATTAGCAACATAAATTTTGACACCTGCATTGTTCAGAAGAATGTACAGAAATCCATTAAGAAGGGAAAGTTCCGCACAGCTTATTGACTGGTGATTTTGGATCAATTTTTAATTAATCCTCCACTTTTAGGAATCATGGGGTTCTCACTCAAAGCTTGACCCTGAGACCTAAAGTCTAATTTGTCACTCAATTATTCTCTGCTTTTGTATCTAATGCCGATGGTGTATGGAGATGCCATCGATGGTAAAAGACCCTGCCCTGGGTCTGGCAGTTCCCCTGGGGAAGGAGGTGGAGAATCCCACGTGTGCTGGTGTGCATTACAAGAGCAATGCAGAACCGAATGTCAGTATTTACTTGGGATAAATCATTAGCATTTTCAAAAACAAGCAGAACAGAGATTAGGAGGAAGTAGAGAAAAACTGGTATAACAATGAGCTTATCTCCCCCAGATACACACAAAAAATTCACTCTTTGGAGATGGTGAAGAATTGTGCCAGCCACCCTTATAAACTTAATACCTAATATAAATAGGCATTTGAGCAGTTTATAGGACTGAAAGCAATTTTGTGTCTAATTGAAAGAAGAGACAAGGCTAATTATCATAGAAGGAATGCTTAATCAAATTGAGAATATAGATCCTGTTTAAACTTCTGCTACAAAATCGTACCGTTTGGAAACTTTGGATTAACCTGCCAGATTCAATTAAAATGATGTAAGGTTGTGGATAAAATTCAAGTAAAATAATAATTGCCAACATTCATTAAGTTCTTCCTCAGTAAGTCACTAATCTAGGCACAGATTGAAGTTTCAGTGTTTATTGATATTCTCATGGGGAAAGAAATATTCATGTATTGACACAAAGCATTAGTTTGGTCCTCTGTGCCCCATACATTTCTCAGACAAGGTCCCTAAACCCCCAGTGTCAGGAAGGCTAGAGTTTAAGTTGTGTTGTTAGGTCACTGATCATCTTAAGAAGGAAAAATGTATCACTTGCTAATAAAACATACAAAAATAGAATAAATGGTAACTAAAAATAGATAAATAAATTGAATCAAAAATTAAAACATTTTTAAAAAGTTTATTTCTGCCAGGGATAATTCGCAATTGAAATGTTTGCTCAGAGAACAAGTTGTCTGTGCTTTAAGAAGTTTCTCAGCCTCCATAAAGATTGTTGGGCCAGGGACAGATTCTTAAACCTGTGGACATATTCTTGGGTCCATAAACATACTCTTGGCCCCACAGACATCGCCTCAGGTTTGTGGACATAGTCTCAGAGTCCGTGAGAATTGCTCAGGCTTCAGATTCTCTTCCCAAGACTGCTCAATCAATCAGAACTTGTACCTTTATTATTCTGCAAGAACGCAAAAGATTATTTGCTGATCTGACTTTCTGGTTTTTTTTTTAACACAAGACAGCTAATTCTGAATTCTAAAGGGTTTGTGAAATCCTAATACCGTCTTATTTGCTAAGACTATAATCTGAGCAAAGCCTTGGGGAAAGAGAACACAAACAAAACCCAATCTATTAATTTCCAATTGTTATTTTTATTCTGCAGGCATAAGGTTGTTACAGCCCAGATCCTTTTCTGCACAAGTAAACATTGTATATGTATAAATAGAGATGGTTGTGTTGAAGTGCAAATATTTGCTGAGTACATTACTAATGCACATAACTCTGTAAATCATTTTATATGGGAAGAAGGCCAGCAAGAGGTGCGATAGGGGACCTGTGCTCCCCCACCCCATGATTCACACTCGCTTTGCGGGGCCGGGGTGGGGGGTGTGCCTCTGAAAACAGAGCTAAGATTGAGTGAAGAGTAAACTGACACCAGGCTATCTCTGAATCTCTGAATCCGTGGGGTCCTCAGATCTTGAGCCATACATTCTCCTGGAGGCATGGATCATCTGTTCTCGGGTGTTGTGTGATCACACCTCAGTGCACCTTAAAAGCAGTGGACTCTTCATGTCTATTTGCCTAACGACCCGAGTGTCACCCCTGCATAGACAGGCACTGAGCACATGGCAGGGCTGGGCTCCATGTGGCAGCAGGTGCACCAACAGCACAACAGACCAGGGTGTCCCAGAGGGCCTTCCCCTGTGTGGATTTCAGAGCTCCCTGCACTGCAGTGATGCTCAGGCAGAGCCCCAGAGGTGCCCCGTGGAGAGGGGCTCCCCACTGCCCACTCTAGTTCAAGAAGAGCCACCCCACATCCACCTGTGCCTGTGTATTGGCTCCCCACAGGATGCCGCAGTTAAAGGATTTGTCTCCTTTAAAAAATGTTTAGAAAATACCTCTCTTATAAGAGCAAAGGCCAGGAATACCAGCATCTTGTGGAAATGGGACTAGAAAGGAGACTTGTGCATGGCAGGACCATGATGGCAGTTGTGGATGGTTCCATCCAGCATCATGCGGTCTGCGCATGGCTCGGGGTGGGGGGGTGGACCTCGGGGCAGCACTGGGCTCGGGTGGGTCTGGCTACCGTGGTGGATCACATACGGACAGGCTCCACGCACACACACACCATCCATAACACACACACACCCCTGCCTATGCCAATCACCAAGACCAGAGAAGTGGTCGTGATAGTAATGAAGTAGGCTGAAGTATCTGTGTACTGAGTCAAACTTATACTTCATACCAGTGCAGTAATTTTTCAAAGCACTGACTTTGATGTTTTACATTAACACACATCATTAGAGGCCTTAACTATACAGACTCATTTTTTATGCAGTATAACAGATCACCTCAAACTTAGCACCTTAAAATAACAAAAATGTATTATCTCACTGTTTCCATGGGCTAGGGGTCCAGGTACAAGTCAGCTGGGTCCCCTGCTTGAGGTCTCACGGGCTGAAATCAAGGTGTTGGCTGGGGCTGTGGGCTCACGTGAGGTCAGGTCCTCTGCCGGGCTTACTGGTTGTTGGCAGGGTTGGGTTCCTTGTGTGTGTAGGACTGGTACCATCTCCTCGGTGCCCAGAAGCCACCTGCCATTCCCTGTCATATAGCCCCTCCCCAGCAGGACAGTTTGCTTCTTCAAGACCAGTGGGAGAGTATCTCTACTGCTTCAAATCTCTCTGACTTCTTCCATCTCTGACCCCTAGCCCCTCTTGTAAGGGGTCCCTCTGATTAAGTCAGGCCCACCCAGAATATTCTCCTGTTGGTTAACTTAAAGTCAGCTGATTAAAACATTAATTATATCTGCAAAATCCCTTCACCTTTGTCACATAACATAACCTGATCATGGGAATAGTCCATCCATCATAGTGACAGTTACCACCCACATGCAACAGGAAGGAATTACACAGATATGTATATCAGAGGAAGAGAATCCTGGGCACCATCTTAAAATTCTTCCTACCACACTATAGCTGATGAAATCATTTTTCTATTCACTTAGAAAATCTGTATTGAGGATTAGTATGTTCCAGATAGTGCCCCAGGCACTGGAGATACAGTAGAGAACAGGATGGCCCTGGCGGGGCTTGCAGGCTGCTGGAGGAGACAGATATTTGAGTGGATCCTGACATGTGCCATGAAGGAGAAAGATCTTAAGAGAGAACGTGGGAGCCCTGACTTAATCTAGGCTAGTGGTCAGAGAAGGTTTTCTCAAGGAAGTAATTAGTAGAACCTGACAGACGTGTAAGAGTTGCCAAAGAAAAGAAGGAGAGTAGGAAAAGATTCTAAACAGAAGGAAAGTAAGACCCTAGATCATCCTGTATCAAGGTCCTGGGGTGGGACAAGCGTGCCACTTCCAGAGACCTAAAAAATGGTCTGATATTGCAGAACGCTAAGCCAGAGGGAGAGGCCAACTACTAACCATGTCACGTAGAGGTCTAAAGGACTCACTAATCTTACACATCCTCTGGGGAGTGGTAGGGGGAGAAAATCCTAGGTTCTGGCTTTTGCAACCATGAACATAGCTGTGCCACTTCTTGCAATGGGTACAGGAGGAGGGGAGGTTTGGAAGGGAAGACGGTGATCCCAGTTTGGGACACGGTAGGTCTAAGGCACCTGTGAATCTGAGTGGAGATCTCAGTGGCAACTGGCTATGTGAGCTGTAAGAGCTTCTTCAATGTAGCAAGGAGGCATAGGGAAATTGGAAGAACACAGAAGAGATGGTCCTCTGGAGTGGCATTCTTTACTTCAACCAGTTAGATCTGAAGTCAGAAATCCACTCAACAATGGCTAGGAATTCGTGAAAGTTGTCTAAACTTGCTTGTACTTCCATTAAAAAAAAAAATCAGATTAACAAAATGTAACTTGATGACTAAGATTGTTTTAAGAAAATATGTCCCAGACAGACCATCCTACACCATCTGTTTTCTGCAACTCTCAACATCTGGTGTTTATAGTTCAACCCTGGGTCACAAAGTAAAGGCTAGGATCCTTTAGCGATGTGCCATGTAAGGAAATGAAGATTGTCCTTACAAATGATAGCTAGAATTTATTTGGTGCCTGCTGTATGCAAAACTCCATATAAATTCTTTAGATGAATTATCTCTCATAATCCTAGCAATAAAACTGTAAATAGGTACAATTATTGTTCCAGCTTCATAGACGAGGAGACTAAGGTTTGTTGAGAAGTTAATGAATTTGCCCAGGACAGAGAACTAAGTGGTAGAGCTGAACAAAAAGCCCTCAGTGAAAATGCAGGGCTCACACTTCCCAGCATCATGATATGAAATTTTTTTGTATAAAATTCTAATAACCCTAGAAGGAAAGATTGCACAAGAGAGATCATACATCAGTGTATGAGGAGTCAGATGGGGATTTACATAGTAAATGCAGGGAAAGCCCTTTGATCTGATTTAATCAAGAGAAGTTAATGGAAATAATCAAAGCAAGGAGTTGCCAAAGTTTACAGTGACCAACAGACGTATTTTAAGGTACGTTTAAGGTACATTGCATTTTAACTTAAAACATACAAATAGAGATTGATTCTCTATTCATTCCTTAATTAAATAACATCGTCCCATTTCTTTAAGTTTTGGGTGAAGAGATCTCTATGTCATCAGTTCCATGACTGTTTCCATCGTGGGTCATCTGCCATTTCCAGCTTAGGCTTCCTGAGAGTGGAGTAAAGCATGCTGCCTTTTGCCAACAGTCGCTTTGCTAGGTTTTTTTTAAATCTGGTTTTCGCCATATGTATCATTTTTCTCAATGGTCTTGGCCCAAACCTAGCCAAACCTTCCTTTTTTTAACTTACCTTTGAGAAAGCTTTTCCAAAGAAGTTCCGTTAATTGTCACAGAAACAGCTTACTTTGGCACTCATATTTCATTGGTTTACATAATGATTTAAATCTCATTACCACGACAAGTATAATTGTCACAAACAAGGTGGAAACAAGCATGACTGACTTTTGCTAAGCAGTCCCTCGGGTGGTTGCTGCCCAAGCACTTGGGCTTCTAGAAGGAAGCTAGCCAGAGGGAGTGTTGGGCATGGTGAATGCCAGCAAGGTGGTTGCTTTGCAGAAGGAATAGAGAGTGTTGGCGAATCTGGGGCATCCGTTAGGATGAAAAGGTCAAGCAAATGTCCACTCTACCCTTGGTGTTCAGGAGGAGCCACTGTGGGTCTGAACCAGGTTGCAGATTGGTGAAGGTCTTTGTTGTTACCCTCACCAATAGGAAACCTGAGCACAAATGCCCTCCATATTCAGGACAACAGTGCCTTGTTCCTAAGGACTTAGTAATTCTGGTGTCGTCGCTTACATGTGTCCCCTTTCCTAGACCTCTGCCATCAGTGGGACTTGCCAAAAACTGATCCGAGATTTTATATTTTCAAATGGTGACGATGTCCAACCCAAGTTAGCTCTCACCATGGTTGCTGGTTTTGTTGTTTTGACCTAGAAGAATCGAGATGGCAATCATGAGACACACATTCAACTCCAAAAATGTTTACTGAGCAGTTATGTTGTTATTGGAGCAGGAAGAGACGCAAAGATTCCTCCAGGGGCTCACGAGAGACTTATATTGGTTGGAATTTGAAGACCTCTATCAAGGTGGGAACCACCCTTCATGTGGACAGTCAGACCAGTGAGGAACAAAACAAGATCCTCAAGGCTTATCTAGTAGCAACATTAATGCTCTTTTCCCCTCTCCCTGTAGCCTGCCTACCTCACTCCATCCTCCCTCTTCAACCTGGAAAACAGAAAGATGGGGGGGAGAGTACGTGCATTCAAGCTCACTCCCAAATTATGCTTAATATTGTTAGCATTATGTCCTGCTTTCTTAGACGGTTTACAGAGGAGTGTTTATTGTCTACATGAGCTGTGAATCTCTGACACAAAAGTCTATCCTCATCAAAAGTATTTCTGTACCTCCCCTCAGCCAAAAAAGGTGTTATTACCAAGTGTCTCGGGCGAGGAAGAGCGGTCCCTGATGACTATGGAAGTTTGCCCTCATTCCTCTCTAACTCAGGAGGCGAGATGTACATCCCTAGCCTGTTCAAAGCCAAACTCTGTAGCAGCACAAGAAGCTAAAGTCTCCAGCTGTTCAGAGGCAGGAAATCACGAGAGACTGCAATGGGGAGGGTGGGCTCCCAGGAAGACAGGGACTTGAACTGAACGTGGGATTTCTGTGGAAGAAACGGTTATTCATGGCACTTGTTAAGAGTGGCAAGGCAGACTTTATTCAGGGGGACTGCTGTGAGGTATACGTGTGGGGACCCCCTTAGTGGGGGATCGCAGTAAGGGAGAGAGACGGGGCTTGACTTCAAATACAAGTGAAAGTGGGAATTTACAGCCAAGGGATGGAGAGGAAGGAGTGGGGTCGCTGGGTGGAAAATTACGGACAAGAGACATCAGGGATGAGGGGCGTTCTGACTAGATGGATCGAACAGGACTTTTGCTGAAGGCACGCTAGGATGATCAGGTATTACCTGGGGTATGGTAGAGAATGAAGATGTTGATTGTGTATCAAGAGAGATCAATTATTGAGGTGATTCAGGCTGAACTGACTTAGCAGGATTCGTAAAATTGGGCTCTTAGTGGACATGCCCGAGGACAGGGGTAGTGGGGTTCACCAGTCTCTCATCTGAGAGAGACTGTCAGTTCCTAGGGCTGCTGGAACAGAATACCACAGACGGGAGCTTCAACAACAGAGATGCATTATCTCACAGTTTGGAGGTCGGAAGTCCAAAATGAAGGTGAGGGCCAGGTTGGTTCCCTCTGAGGCTGTGAGGGAGAGTCTGTTCCAGACTTCTGTCTTGGCTTATCGATGGCCATCTGCTCCCTGTGTCCTCACGTTGTCTTCTCTCTCTGCATGTCTTTGTGTCCACATTTCCCCTTTTTCCATAAGGACCCCAATCCTACTAGGTGAGGGCCCCCCTAATGACCATAATTTAACTTGATTATCTCTCTAGAGACCCCTTCTCAAAATAAGGTCGCAATCTGAGCTTCTGGGGTTGGGGTCTCCACATGTGGATTCTGAGGGGACTCGGTGGAGCCCTCTCTCCGGTCAGCACTGATCCTCAAGGAGCTGACCGTGGAGAGAGTGGCCAGGCCCAGCTGGAGCGGGGGTCGTGTTGGGCAGCATGGGCCTGAGCGCCCGGTCGCAGCCCCATGTCTGTGACTAAACACACGACTCTTCTAGTTCCAGGTCCTCCTGCAGGAGTGAAGGCAGCTGCAGCCTCAGCCTCCATGGTGTTTGTGTCCTGGCTTCCCCCTCTCAAGCTGAACGGCATCATCCGAAAGTACACTGTATTCTGCTCCCACCCGTATCCCACAGTAAGTTGGTAAATAACCAAGTGCCTTTTAAGCACCTTCCAGAAACAAGCTGCGAGCACTCCCTGGGGACAGTTTTGTTCCTGTCCCCCACCTACTTGGGTCTTTCCAGTGGTTTTATTGTTTTCTCCCGTTGTCTCCACCACAAAGCAACATCCTCATTTATACCTCATTTGAAAATACGCTTCTGAATCATTGCAAGGGACACAATTGTCTAGAATTGTTGTTTATTTGGTGACTTCCCACGAAACTGCCAGCCGGCTTCTCAAAATCAAAACCCAGAGGTCTTAATTGAGTCTTAATTGATAGTCAGTGGACAACACCTATTGATTTTGCTGTTGGACTCGTCATTATGTGCACTCCAGGCCCTCTCTGCCTACCCCCTTCCCTCCGCCCTCCCTCCTGTGGTCCCACCGCTTGCCCCTTCTTCCTGCTGGGACCCAACCCCCACTGAGGGAGAGCGAGCAAGCCCCTCCTGTGCCAGACATGGGGGCCCTTGCTGAGGATCTGGGACCCTGACAATTACGTGGTCCACCTCGTTCATTGTGACAGAATTAAAAGTTAGGGTAATTAATACTTCCCAGTGCTGTATTTATTTTCATTAATATTATTACTAGCAAGTCATAATTATAGAGCTAAGCTGTTTCTCAGACCAGATACAAAAGCAAATCCAAATGGGAAATTTTAGAGAAAAGAAAGCCAAAGTGGGACAAAAAATTCATGATATCTTCATAGGAATATGTAAGGCATTTTCAGAGGTAGGCACCATGGCTGACCCCTCTTTCTGTCCCCCCGCTGGGCCATAGAACTTGACAGGCATAGTCACTCAGGAAGTATTTGTGGAAAGAATACACAAACTAATTTTGTTTTTTATTGTGGTAAAATACCTTCGCATAAAATTTACCATCTTAATCATTTCTAAGTGTCCAGGTCAGCGGCATTAAGCACATTCACACTGTCACGCGACCGTCCTCACTGTCCACCTCCAAAACATTTTTCATCTTCCCAAACCGAAACTCTGTCCCCCTTAAGCACTAACTTCCCAACCCTCTGCTTCCAGCACCTTCAGCCACCACTCTGCTTTCTGCCTCTGAGAATCTGACTGCTCTAGGGGTCCCACAGGAGTGGCATCTGACAGCCTTTGTCTTTCTGCCACGGGCGCACCTCACCGAGCATCATGTCCTCAAGGGTCATTATGTTGTAGCAGGTGTCAGGATTTTCTTCCTTTTTAAGGCTGACTCATATTCTCGAACTAATTTATTAATTGATTCTCTAATTAAAGTGGTACATCTTCCAAAGTCTAGAGTCCGTAGGGAACCCCCAGGCCTCGGAGCGCCCCAGGCAGTGAGCGTGATTAGCGGCGCCGGAGAGACAAGGGAGAGCCTGTGTTCAGCTCTCAGAGGTCTGCATCTCTGCTGGAAAACGTTTGTCAACAGCAGCCCCCCTGGAGCTGAAGTGAAGATATACATGTAAATGGTCACAGATGGGCTCCAGAACTTTCTTGCAGGTTCCTTCTTTGGTTTCAAACATGCTGTTAATTCCCACCTGCTGAGTCCTACCGTCAAAGTTCAGAGATGCTAAGCAGTGCTGGGAGGAAGGCCCAGGCAATCACGATCTGCTACTCAGAGAGGCTGCGCAGACCCTGATTTTCTCGTCAGCCCTAACATAGAACCATTCTGCCAAAAAGAGACAAAATCATTGCTAGAGCAAGGCATACCTGCATTCCACTTGAATTTGAAATGCTTCTTTATTTCTATTCGCTCATTCATCCATCTATTTGCTGTAGAACTCACATTTGCTGTTCTGACTCCAGCAGCCTAGGAAGAGGCTAGCAGGGTACCCAGAACACCAGCAGCTTCCCCTCTATCTGCTCTTTATCTCTAAGGTAAAAACCCCAGCCAGCTCATTTGCAGTTGGTCCAGACAGACCAATGCATGGGTGAGACAGCCCCACTTGTGGATGCCAGGGGCCATGTTAGTCCCTGTCCCCCCAGCCAGTGAATTCCCCACCGTAGAATAGCAAGAAGCCATGCTCAAACTGTCCACAGGATGGAGAAGAAAGGAATTTCCACAGTCTCTCTTTGCACAGAACAGTAGGGTTCGACCACCCAGGACCGTCCCAACAAGACCCTTCCAAAAATGACCATCCTAACATCCAACTAACCAGAAAAAATGGGAATGAACAACCAGGTTTTTCACCTACCTAATGTCTGACTGCCACTAGCTAGGTCTGTCTGCGCTGCTTTTGACAGTATTAAAAAGCACTATGGATCCAGAAATAGGATCGTTATAAGGTGCCTGTGATCTTCTCGGCAGCAGCATGTAAGTTTTGCAAGGAAGGTCCAGAATCCCAGAACAGTCCTCAATAACGTGAAGTGAACCAGAATCAGGCTGTTCCATCTCTCGAGCCACATGGCTGTTCATCTACTTCAAACATCTAAGACCACAAGGCCCAGATTTTTTAATAGACTTTATTTTTAAAGCACTTTTAGGGTGACAGAAAAACTGAGTGGGAGGTACAGAGATTTCCCAAACGAGGCCTATGATTAAAATAAAATAATACCATTCTAAGTAAAGAGCAGAGAGGACTAATGCATTTCTCTTTGAAGGGAAAACCACCCATTATTTTGGGGGTTTATTCATATGGAATTAGGAAGAGAGTATAAATTACTCGAAAGAGGGACTTTGTTTCCATCCCGAGCTTCTGTAATTTGACAGTCAGAATTCTGGATGCTGTCACCTCTTGCGATGCTTTGCCATCTCCACCTATGTGCCGCATAAACACCAGAGGGCAGTGTGAGCTCTGTATATTTCTCTTGCTCATCTCCCTGACTTTCTTTTCTCTGAAATGATTTCATAGTTGAATGTAGAACATGGGAAGATAAATGAGGACACCGCACACCCTGTAATTTGTTGCTCTGTAAGGGACTCCCTCGGCTAACCTCCTCGCTGACATAAATTTCCCCTAAAGACCCCCAGTGAAAGGACCTGTGACAAGCCCCAGGCTCTTCTCCATAATGCGTAAAGCCCGTTGTCTAATAACGGGCAATGGTTTCGTTGTGTTCTTTTGGGTCAGCTTAGTCAAAGACACTCAGATTTGAAATTGCATACGTGGCCAGACGAGAAACTGCAAATTCATCTAAAGTCTGGTGGTGCTGGGAGTCTCACCGTGAGGGACCAGCAGGTGTGCCGAGACATCAACCTTCCCAGGCCGATTCGAGCCACAAAATCTTAAGATTCATTTGATTCAGGAACTCATCCATATAATTTTGGGGCCGTGGCTATTAGTTTTCATATAGGATGGTTGGAACGATCAATTCACCCAGTTGTAAGGTCCCAGGGAGAAAGGAGTGAGGCTGGATCTCCTCTCTAGCGCTCCTCCCTGCATGAAAGCAGCCTGCGGGAGATGCCGTGCGTTAGCCAAGTGGGAGGATAGAGAAAGTGTCTCTTTTACAGTGTTAAGCAGATGAGACAAAGAAATTAGACAGCACAAACTTCTCAGCAATGAACAACATTAGAAGACCTAAAATAATCATATCAACGAGCCGTAACCTACATCAGTTATTCCAGTTTTGGATGATGATATGATCCAGTCCCTGCACAGGACAGGTGTTCAGTCGATGGTGCTGAATGAGCAAAGGAGAATGTTCTAGTACTCTTCTTATCCAGAGGATGACTTTCACCTACTAAACTCCCCACAGTGTAGCCCACAACTTGGAAATAAGCAAGTCTTCAGGGAAGCAAGGAAAGTAAACTTTACCAGGTCTGGGTAAATTCTGAGCCAAAGTAGCTGGTGTGTGTTTGCCCCATACGTGCCTCCGCCCACCCAGGGCCTGCATTTAATAAATCATGGGGCTGAAGACAAGGGAGAGTGGCTTCAGAAACCCAGAAATGTTGGAGCACTGGGTGTTATGCACAAACAATGAATCATGGAACACTGCATCAAAAACTAATGATGTAATGTATGGTGGTTAACATAACAATAAAAAAATAAAAATAAAAAAAAATAAAAAAAAAGAAACCCAGAAATGTTGAGTAATCTCAGGTCAAACAAGAGTGCCACGATAGAACCGTCAAGCGGGGTCTACCTAACCGTCCCTATTTATAATGCTGTCCATCTTTCTGGCCACTGCTCCTGTCTCCGAAGCCACCACAGACCCCCTGGCTATACGAGGCCATTGCCCCCTCCCCACCAAAACCTACCCTTACACGTACGCATTTCTCAACACTCTTCCTTCATCTTCTTTTCCTAGTCTTGATTATCTCCATGAATCATTGAATCTGTTCTTATAATTTAACTATCATCTGAAGTTACAAGGGTCAAAAATGTTTCTCTCCAACCCCAACCATCTTACAGGACCAGTCTCATATTTCCAACTTCCTTCCATCCATGTCTCCGTCGAGATTCCACTGCATCCAACGTGTCCAGAACCTAATTCATTCTTGCTCCCCTTCTCTTCCTGTTTCCCAGCTAAGCTAATGCTTTAACGATACCCGTTGTCCTCTGACAAGAGGCCTCGAATCTCAGGGATTTACACCAACAGTTTTATGTTTCTTTCACATTCACGTCCGTTGTGAGTTGGTAGCTCTGCTCCATATTACCCACACTGCAGGAGGGACCCGTGCCAGTTTTATGGCAGAGAGAAGGCCCTCTCTGGAGGGTCTGACAGAGGCATAACGTGTCCTCTCTCCAACCACAAGAGAACCAGGAAGCCAATCCCAACACATACCTAGAAGACAGGAAAACCAGAGCAGCTTGGAGAACAACTCTATTGGTGGCCATGGGACTGCCATGATAAAGGATAGAGTGTCTGCCTTTCTTTGAAGAGTTCCTGGTTCTAGGGAGGGCAGAAAATACCAGAGATGGTCACTGTTCTTGTGACGTGGCAAAGGACACAACCGGCACCTGCAGAGGACAGAATGACATGGAGCACAGGCAAGGGGGTATCACTCAAACAGTAGGATCAGAGCCAGTTTCTTGGGATGTACATACAGCCCTGGCTT